TGCGAATGGAGTGGCTGCATGTGTGACGTGTATATGATCCATATTTCCTATGAAAGTCCTCCACGAAGGTATCCCTTCCTTTATGCAAACAGTTCTCTGTCTTTGTCGTAATTACGTAAACAAAAGAAACGAAACCAAACCTACTTCTGTTAGGTGGCCACAGGCCACGAGTTTTGATTAAATTCTCCTCTATAGTATGACTTTACCCAGATTTAGCGACGAGTAATGAAATTTGATAACTAGTCTGAAGAGTACGATTAACACTTGCATTATGAGCAGTAAATGGAGACTTTAATGTTATACTTTTTTCAAAATTTTCTGGAAAGTTTGAAAATAATTCAAATCTGAATTAATATGAGCATTATCTTTCGCCTTCAAATGTGCCTCTAGACAACCTCCTTTCATTTATTCATTGGTCAGACATTGTTCACATAAAAGACAAGAAGGAGACCACTCATTGCCTATAGCGGGTATAAAACCAGATTTTAACTCTGAATAATAACAAACTTTTTTCTTACTTGCATTTCACTAAGGGCTGAAAGTATTAATGTAAGATCAATGAAAAAACCTTATCACACCACTAAATATAAACAAAGTGGTTGCCATTCAAGGGAAGAATAATATACCTGTTGCCATTTCTACAGTAAAAAATAAAATGAATTCATTGGCTGACATGTGCACAAAATGTCACCTATTTAAATGCCTTTTAAAAGTCCATGCCTAAAGCAAAAATTATTTATAGAATATTTAAAATGCACTGCAATTTAAAATGCATCACTTGCATCACTTAAAATTTAAAAACTTTTTTTTACATTATTCTTTATTTTTTTTGGGGGGGAAATGAAATTTAGCCTTCTTGAAAAAAATTTGGAAATTTAAATGTCCCTTGTCCACTTAAACTCTGGACGAATTCATTTTCAAATTGCTCCCTTAACAATCAAACTGCCCCCTTGTTGAGGGGGGTCCCACGTTGGGAAACATTGCATTAAACTTCATGATAAATTATTTTTCATTTACTATTTTATGAGTTTTAAATAAAAGCTTATTTTATAAACAGTTTATTCCCCTTCATAGGTGTCATCAATCAGTCATAAAATAAACTGTTAAAATTGCTGAATATTTTATTAATTAAATATTAATTGCAAATAAAATAGTAGCAATTTAAGTTCTATTTAATGTGTAGTTTGCATGCTTAATTTTGGAGGATGATTTGAATAGTGACATCAATAACTGTGGAAGTCTCTACCTTAACATTTAACAAATTGTACTATGTGAAAAGAAGCCTCTTTGTAGTACGAATCATTTTGCAGAACTGGTATTAAAAAAAATTCCTCTATCTACTCCAACAAACTCTCCATTAATATGAATGTTCTTGACTTTATGGAAATTCTACAATTCTTGTTGTAATTTTTATGACAATATTATAAGTATAGTAGCACTGGAAATTAATCATTCATTATATTGAACAGTTTACATCCATTTTCATGTAGAAAATAATGAAAGCAAATGAAATTTGTGTGTTTTTCTCATAGGTTGTACTGCAAAACATTGAAAAGTGGAAAGACTTAAATTATTATGCCTTGTTTAAAAATATATCATGCTAAGTTAAAATATTAACTAGTATGTAGAAATTTCAAGCTATTAGGGTGTTCAAATGAAAAGGTACGGAACAACACTATGGGTATACTGAAGTCTTTATTCAAACGAAATCACCACAGGCCTGAGCACATCTATCCCACTGTTTCATGTTCCTCTTCCCAGAATTGTAGCTGTGACAGGAGCCAGTCCTCCACTGTGTCCTTCAACTCCTCGTCCAAGTTGAAGTGCTTTTCTTTAAGATGTCAATTCTCACCAAGTCGTTCACCTTGTGATTGAGTTCGGCTGTGATTACTGTTTTCTCTCGGCCTGATCTCAGGTCATCACTGAAACATCACGAAAATTGGCACTCCACATTCTCACTGACTTATTGGACACACAGTTTGCTCCATATATGGCCACTATCCAGTGATGAATATCTCCCGGTTTAACCCCTTCCATAGTCAGAAATCTGATAATATTTCGCTGTTTCTCAATCGTCCAATTTTGCAGTGTGAACACCAAGATGTTATCACACACACTGCTGCATGGATTGGATGGAACTTACAACTGCCTGCTTCACTCCGGCCTAATGTATGGGTGTTTGCACATGCGTACAACCACGTTGAACACTACATTTGGTTCCTTAGATGTCTCACTACATTATGCAAAAGATTACGATGTTTTGTACTTTTTCATTAAAACACCCCTTATATATAACATATGTAACATAAATTTTCTGCATGAACTAGCATATATGAAAAACTTAGTATTAAAGGAGTAATGGTAATTTTTATATATTTTAGTCCCATTTATTTTATTCTTGGTCAATAGGTTATTTTTGATGCATATTTAATCTAAAAATTTAATTTTCTTAAAATATTTGGAGGATTTTTTTTTTAATTTCTCCCGTTTACCTCATGTTCATTATAATAAATGAAATTAGTTCTTTGCTAATGAATAAATAAGCAAAGCTTATCTAATTACCTTTTATTTAATTTTTATTCTGAAAGCACAGTATACAAATCTGAATTCAACAGGGAAAAGCACTTCTTCTCACTGTATATGTTGTTATGTAAATTGTAAAAAAATTAAGAGAATTTGCAAATTATGTCTATTTTTTAAAAAAGTACTGAACCAAAGGTGCTAATTATGCCACCAAAAGAATTATGTAAATATCAGAATCGAATACGTAAGTGTACATGTGTGTCTGTGAACCTGTGATTGTGTAGGGGATATAAGCACACAAGGTTTTTTTTGTGATTTGTGCTTGTACTGCTTTTTGACATTCTCCATGTTTCTTCTGAAAGTTGGATAAATTTTATAACACATCAGATAAGATGAGTAACCATGAACATATGGGGGACAAATGGAGAATTGTTGGTAGATTGGAGGCAGGCCAATCAAAAGTGTAGGTGGCTACAGAGCTCAGTGTAACAACTTGTGTCATTTGCAGTTTGTGGAAAAAGTTTCAAAGCACTGGATCCATGTTGAAAATTCCTGGACAAGGTCGACTCTCAACAAATGAGGATCATTATTTGGCACTTTCCAACACAGCGCTGTTACAGCTTCACAGCTCTCTGACACGAGCTGTATGCTGCTACTGAAATCAGAGTTTCACTGTCTCCAATTGCTCAAAGGCTTCATGAGATAGGGCTCTATGCCAGAAGACCTGCTGTTTTTATCCTGCTCACTGCAGCACACAAGAGAGTGTGTTCTTTATGGTGCAGGCAACGTGTACTTTGGACCAGACTTTAGTGGAGCACTGTTCTTTTTACAGATGAATCAAGATTCAGCTGGGATGCTTATTCTCAGCATACCTGTATCTAGAAAAACCCTGGAACATGATACTATGTCTTCTTCAGCAGAAACAAAATTGTTATAATTTTGGAGGTGTAATGGTTTTGGCTGGCATTATGTTGGACAGTGATACACCCTTGAATGTGCTTGACAAAAGTTTCCCTGACTGCTATGAGGTAGAGTTCTTATATCCCTATGCTTGATATTTTGGGAATATAGTTGGGTCTGAGTTCTTGTAAATGGAATACAGCGCTTGTTCATATAGGGCTCAGCTGGTCAAAGATTTCTTGGAAAATGAGGATTTTCACCACATTGGCCTGCAAGATCTCCTGACCTTAGCCCTATAGAGCATGTTTGAAATACTCTTAGGAGGACAATTGCATGTTGCCATCCGCCTCCAAGAACCATCGCAGAGTTATAATCTGTCTTATTGCAGGAGTGAGATTTACTGCCATGGGGACACCTCAGCTGCCTCCTGTTCAGTATCCCATGATACAAAGCAATGCCATCTGACTGTGAAAGGGAAAAATACTCCATCTTAGATTCATTTTCAGTTCGATATTACAATGTGGATTTTAGACATCCCTGCTGTCAGAGCTTTTATTGATAATGATTCGTACATAAAATGAGTTCTGAATGATAGGTCTCTTTCTGTTATAAATGTATATTCATACTAAATTTCATTAAAAAAATCTGTCCAATAGTTTTCTTGGAAATTCAGCATAATGTGCTGATTCTATTTATTTTGGATGCAAGTGTAAATTGTCAAGCATTTGTTTTATTAACTTATTTGATCTCATTTAAATTAGCATGACTTCACTTAAAACTGAAAGTGAGTTATTTCAAAATTACATTTCATGTAATTTTGAAATAACTCACTTTCAGTTTTAAGATTATCATTTATTGTTCATTTTACAAATACAGTTAAATCTCATTTAATTAGGCTAATATTAGGGTTTAAATCCACAGTTAACTCAAATTATCCCATCGCCATTAATCCAAAGAGAAATAAAATGGAAAAAAGACCAAAGAAAGGAGGAAAATCCATATAATAATTAGCAGAAAACTACTTGTGTCATAGGTTGGCAAGTAGGAGAAAAAACAGAAAAATGCAATAAAGTTTTAGTTAATCAAACAATATGTATGAAGCTAGACAGTTCCTCAAAAATCCATAATCAACCAGCATTCTGCATCTGTGTAACAATTTACCTGTACTTTCAGCCATTTAATTGGGAGAATAACTTTATTTGGTTACATAAATTAAACCAGTATTCAAAATAAAAATAACACTCTGTAAGTAAAGGGAAAACAAACATTAGAAATTAAGTTACAAATAATATTTAAAAACAATACTTATAAGAAAACTTAAATGAGTTCAAACTCTTATAAAAAAGGTGGTACGAACTTTTTGCTTTTCAACAGAATACTTCAGCTATCAGTATTAACTCCGTGCATTTTTGTTTCACTTTTTGTAATTTATGTAGACAGTTTTGCTTTGTACTGAAGGTTTTTTTGATAATTTTTCCATCATTTCATGTTAAACAAATTTGACTTTCTTTTAACAGGACCTGTTAATCAGACATTAATGTTTGTTAGAGAGCTTATTAATATGAATTGTTTTCTAGGTTTTAGCAAACAAGTTATAGCTCTGTTAGATTCTCATAATGCAAAATATGAAACATTTGATATTTTGGAAGATTTTGATGTTCGAGAAGGTAATTTGTTCTCTTGTTTTCATTTTAATTGCACAGCATAAAACAAAACAATGAAGTATCCCATTTTTAATTTGTTTAATTAAAACAATGAAATCTAATGTTAATAAAATTAGTCATTATGTTATATAAATTGTAAAGTTAAGTAATTTTTTATTTGAAATGAATTACTTTGAGTACGTTCCAGTTTAAAAAATGTAGCAGTCATTAGGAAAGTGTTTTAATTATACCAATTATTCAGCTAAAATCTTTAAAGATGATCTGAAAATTATAATTTTTTTTGCCTTAAGCGTAGTTCAGCTTGAAAATTAAATCACATAATGTTTATGTTAATTCAGTTATCCAGTTATATTAAGATGGCTTTTAATAACTGATTTTCCAATTTATACAATTAATAACTGAAGACATTTATATATGCAAAATAATTAGTAAGAATTCAATAAATTAAGCATTTAGTGAAAAGTAATTATATGTAAATTTCTCTTCTGTTTTGGTTTATTTTTCTTTAATTTTTTGAAATGGGAATTTGCTTGTTTGAAATGTTTTGGTTTTAAAATTCTTTGTTGCAATTAGTTGAAATTTATTAATTATGAATTTCAATTTTTTGTCTAAAATATTTTATTATTTTTAACCATATAGTTTTGTTAAAATCAAATGTGATAAACTAATGCAGTACAAAGTCCGAAATCCGGACTCGTCGGGACTTTGGCAATTCCGGATTTGGGATTTTTCCGGATAATAGATCATCAGTTTAAATCTAGTAAGATGGCCTGTAGAAATTATGAAATTAAAAATATGAAATAATAAAGTATTTATGATCTAAAGAGTATAAAAATTTATAAAAAAAAAAGAGGCTTAATATTTATATTTGTTTACCTTATTAAACATTTCTTTAAATTTAATTTATTTAAGTTGCTTCCATTTTTGTGCTAATATTTTCTCTTTAATTCTGTAAACAGGCATAATCTCTTGTTCAGTTACATTGTTGATGTCCTGTAACTGCCTTAGTAACTTCTCTGTCACTTTCTTCACTATCGGTAGCTGTATTTTCTGGATCTACAACCGTACTACAGATTTCGTCATTCATTAATCGATTGATGATTGAGAAGCTTTGTCATCACAATAAAAAACTTCTTTTATATCATCTTCATTTATTACCGTTTCTCCACATTTGTTTACAAAATACGTTAATTGAAAAATTTCACCTTTGTTGTGTGATATCCGAAAACCTTTAAAATTCATGACTATCATCATCAAATTTAGCTGTTGTTCACTATACATATTTGGCTATGCATCATGAGCTTGATGACTAATGACAAGTTGTTCTGTTAAATTTTATCTTGCTTCTATCATGCACTGAGACAATTAAGCCTGAATTGTATTAGTTTAGTTATTTATTGTACTTATGTCCATTTCTTGCACATTTTCCTGAATAAATAAATTCCTACATATACTTAATCCTTATTGAGGATACCTTACCACCTGATGCAATCTCTGTGGGTCCTAAGTTCTGCGACCCGGTGTGGCTATACGAGCCCTGGCGCTGGTTCTGGGTTTATGTGAATACACAAATCAGTTATTCTTAATTCAAATAGCCCTAAATGTAATCTTTGGGTCTATGAGTACCATCAACAAAATCTTTTTTTAGCATATGGAAAGAAATTTTTGTTAAATTTATTGTCGTTAAAATTTTTTAGCACATTTAACTTAAATCTGTAATCATCGCCAAGCATAATGTCAGCATAAAAGGTTATGGTACTCCTTTATTATTAAATTACTAGCATAAAAAAATTGTTTAGGCATCCCTACATGAGTCACTGCTCAAGTTGTTATGTGTTGATAAACATGCGGTGATGAAAGGAAAGTATAATAAATAATGATTCGCCCGGTTGGTGTCAGATCAATGATGTATCTATGTGACATGTTTCGGTTTGAGATGTGTGCCAAGCAGATACGCAGCAACGGAGCCAAACTACTGATCGTACAAATTTATGCTAAAATGATTGTATCTTCAATAACAAGGTGTTTTATTTAGTATCGAAGTGAAATTAAGAAACGGGACTCTCTAGATGTTTTATTATTTTTGAGGAGGGCGGAATAAAATGCGCATGTGTAAAGCCTACGAAAAAAACGTTATTGCTGATTTTGAGGTGAAGATTTTAGATCATTCCGGATGTTGGACGTCCGGATTTCGGACTTTGTACTGTACACTATTTCATGTAGTGGATAATTAATCAGGGAAACCAAGTATAATGTAAAGTTCCCTTATTTTAAGTTTGGGATCTTTACTGTCACTTTTCCCTTCCATTTTCCCACCAGTATACAAACTTTGTTCGCTTATATTTAAGGTGATGTTTTTAGTTTAGTAAAACAAAACATGTTGCCACTCGAGGCCATGTTACTAGGTTGCTAGATAAGATACGATTTATAGTCTTTGGTCATGCATTATAATTGCTGATTGTTGAATTCCGTGCCGGTTAAGTTTTGAATCAACTTCACATTAAACTGATTTGTGTAGCTTTTTGCTACTAGTTTATTTGAATATAAATTTTACATTTGAATTTACTGTTACCTTAAATTGTAGAAACATTAGGATTTTTTGGAAGCAAGAGACTTGAAAAATGAGCCATGCCCTCGTCGGGAATTGAACCACGGACTTCTGGAATACGCGCCGAGCATGCAGACCACTACACCAGGAAAGCATGCTAAGAATCTAATCTGTGCAAGCATTGCCGGGATATCACCCAGAGTACAGCTTATCTGGCTGAATGAAAATGTGCCAAAAGGCGAAAGATGTGTACTCATCGTGACAGCGTAGCCATAAGAATGTCAAAAGTGTGTAAAAGGCAGGCGATCGATAGCTAAATTCTGTGATTGAATGCGGCCGTACGAACCCTGGGGCTGGTTCTGGGTTTATGGGAATAGCAAATCAGCTATTTTTAATTTAAATAGTCCTAAATGCAAACTTTGGGTCTATGAGCATCATTAACAAAATCTATTTTTAGCATATGCAAAGAAAGTTTTGGTAAATTTTTCTCGTCAACATTTTTTAGTGCATTTAACTTAAATCTGTAATCATCGCCAAGTGCAATGTCAACATAAAAGGTTACCACACCTTTTTATTATTCAATTACTAGCATAAAAAAATTGTTTAGGCATCGCTACATGAGTCATTATTGAATTTGTCTTGTCAAGTTGTTATGTGTTGATAAACATGTGGTGATGAAAGGAAAGTATAATAAATAATGATTCACCAGGCTGGCATCAGATCAACGATGTATCTGTGTGGAATCTTTCGCATTAAGATGTATGCCAAGCAGATATGCAGCAACAGAGCCAAATTACTGATTGTACAAATCTAGGCTAAAATGATTGTTTCTTCAATAACAAGGTATTTTATTTAGAGTAAAAGTGAAATTAAGAACCTGGACTCTCCAGATGTTTTATTATGCTCGGAGGGGGGAATCAAATGCACATGCGTAAAGCCTGCAACAAAAAGTTGTTGGTGGTTTTGAGGTCCGGATTCCTGTATTAGCAAAAGCAGTATGGTAAACTGTTGCTTTATGGTAAAGACATGGTTTAGCATACAGAAAAAAAAAGGAGGAAACCAAGTATTCCTGTTATTCTTAAAAGCTGTGGCTTCAATCTGGATAGTTGGAATTCTGCCATTTATTATGGCAAAAATATATAGGAAATATATAATAAAAATATTGCTTTCTTATGATCCAGACTAAAATAAACTTTCTCTTCCTTAATTTCTATGTAACGTTGACTACCATATAGCTTAGCTTTTTGTTTCAATTTGATTGATTATATAAATTTATATCACAAATGCAGCTGTGATGAATATTCTAAGAATCCTTCTTATATTTTTAGGTCTAAAGAAATTTTCAAACTGGCCAACATATCCTCAGTTGTATATAAATGGAGAACTCGTTGGCGGCTTAGATATTTTAAAAGAATTGTCACTGTGTGGTGAACTAGATACACTCCTGTCTGATGCAAAGTCTGGACATTAATGGTATTATTTACTTTGTAAATGCTCATATGTGATGTTATGAATCTGAAAGAGTAACAAAATTAGCTAATATAATACTTTTTTGTAAAGCATATTTTTGCAACTTGTTGCTATAAGTTATGTGAAAGTTCAGAAATATTTTGTGTAATTAAAGTAGATGAACATGAATCTAATGAGTTCAGTCATGTTACTTTGGTATATATAGGTTTAATTATTAAGTATTATTACTTTATCATATAAAATAAAGTAAAGAGAATTTCTTTTTACCTCTTGATACTTTTTTCTTTGTTTTTTTCTTCACACTCTTGTTTGTGATCTTATATGAGATCATTTTAATTGCTGTAATTTAGCCTTTTGTTATCAATAAAGCTTTGAGACCATTGTAAAGGAAATTTTTCTGTTAATTACATTTGCTATAATCTTATTTTTACCTATCATCATCTTTTTATTTATTTATCAAATTACATACATTCTGCACAAGCTCAAATTTCAAATATTTTTTCTCTTTTTGAAAAATTCTTTGTTTATCTTTAAATCATATTTTAATAATATCATATTTTAATTCTTGGGGGAATTACTGTCATTACTTTCTTATCCGCATTTAAAATACATCAGCAAAACTGAGTTGAACAGAAAAACTTTACATTTAAAGAACAAAAATGTTTGTGTCAGAAGCTGAGTAATTAGAAGGTTTATTGCTGTTACTTATATAGATATTCTTTTAACAATTGTTCAGCTGAAAATAATCAGAGCTTTTTTTCAGTTGCTGAGTTTGACTTTTGGCATTTGTCAAAATTGTGTTAATGATTAATTAAAATCTCTTTCTCTCCAAAATGTGTAAAACTCTTAATGTTTTTTTCCCCCCTTCTTTTCTTTCTTTTTCTTTCTCTCTCTCTCTCTCTCTTTTTTTTTTTTTTTTTTTTTTCTGTTTTATTCCATAAGTGGGTCTGCAGTAGCTGTTTCTTTCTTTCTTTTTTTTTTTTTTAATTATTATATATACTTTACATTTTTTGTATTTGCAAATTTCTGGCAAGAAGAAACATGACAGGCAGTATGATACGAAAGTACAGTACCCTGATAATGGAAGGGCAGGAAAAGTCATAGGCTCAGATAAAGGGGCTCTGAAGTTTAATTGGCATGAAAAATCAAACGAGGTATTTTTAAATTTAAGATTTTATAGGCATATTGTGGTTAAGATGCCATGTATCACTGAATTATGTTGCAAATACCAGCTTTCCTGAGTCTAATTCATAGTGTCAGCTTAGTGACTTGAGTCATATTAGCTAGAAGTTGATTTTTTAGCAGAATTTAAGAAGTTAAAATTAATTAACATTTTTTTAAATTAATTATTGAATCTGTCTTTCATTCAGTCTTTTCCCAGTTTCAGTTTTCCTCCAGTTTCTGTTGCACATCTTGCCATATTTGCTAGTAAAATTGAGAGACTCCCATAACCTAATTTTTGTTTTCCAATTTGGTTAAATTTCAAAAGAAAAGTGTATTGGTAAACAGTTGCAACTCCAGGATTTTCTGGAATGGCTATGGCAAGGCTAAATATCTAAAACTGTCTGTACAGTCAGTTTTAAATTTTGTCCAGATCATTGCTGAATGCAAAAGGATATTAAATTAACTAGTGAAAATAAAGACTGAATTTAGATTTCTCTCAAATGCACCATTTAGAAAAATAGTGGATCATTAAGTGTGGAAGGAAAAGAAAATTGATAATAGAAGGAAATAAAAATTAAATTTGCAGAATTTAATTTTGTTATTTATTTTTATTTGATTTGAACTGTTTTACTCTATTGCAGAAATCTGTAGAATTTCTTATGAAGATTTAACCCTTTTGAGACGAACTTCTGTTTAAGACGTTCCATTGGAATGGATGGGTATCAAAAGGAATCTTCTCACAGGATGGCGTTTTTTTTCATCGCTAAACCTAACTTTAGGGGTTTGGGAATCCTAACGTCATAATTTTGATTACTATTTTAGAGTATTACTTAAACTATCATATATGTTAAAATAAGCATTTAATAATCTTTTTCCTTTACATGAAAATATGTAAAAAAAAAATTGCTTAAGTTTAGAAATAATTTTCAGAAGCATTATTGAAATTATTCCAAAGTTTTAATTGACAAAATACATTGATAAACTTTGATATTAATAAAAATAATACAAGAAAGACTACAAAAAAGAAGTAACAAAATCTTTCACGGTAAGTGAAAGGCAGGCATTAAGTGGGCTCAGTCTCTGACAAAATGTTCGTATCAGTATTCAGGGTTCGTAGCGGTCCTTACAAGTGCTTATAAGTCCTTATATTTGAAAATAAAATATAAAGGCTCTTATACTTACTTTCTTAAACCTTATTCATTTTAGTGCTTTTTTTGTTTTTACTTTTTTTTTCTATGAACAAATAAAACTTTTTGTGGGGTTTGAAATTTCTTTGCTTTAACCAAGGATGTCAAACTCGCCCCAACAAAATTTTTGCGGCCCGGCCAATATATCGGCAAATAATAATATATAATAATAAAATAACATATCGACGAAGAAAAAAATGAAATGTTTACTGCTAAGTAATTAACGATAATTTATTCAGTGTTGTTAGATTACTCACAGCGAGCTGACACACACACTACTTAAATTACAAATGCGTGTGAGTAGCTTGCGTTCAGCTACCTTCGGCTTTTGGGGGACACGTGCACTCAGAACTTGTACGCATCCCCCGATAGCCGAATGTGGCCGAACTCATGGTCTCAGTTTTCCAATCATAGTTTTGTACGATATATTGGTGCATGCATGTGCATGCACTTTGCTTTATTATTAATTATTACTTAATTCATATTGTTACGGATTTCATAGTTATTTATTTATTTAGTTTTTTTTTATTTAGAATTGTAATTAGATTTGCTTCATGTTGCCTTAGCAACGCAGACGATTTTTGAAAAGACAGCTGCGTTGGAAGGTTAAAAATAGAACAGCGCGTGCATTTAATACCTAATAAATAAATATCTCGTAATTGCTGTTGCCATCCACAAAAATCCAGATATTTATAGATGTTTCCAGTATATTCGAGAAATTAATTATAAAGCTTATAAAAGCCGAGAACAAACAACTCATCTCAGTAGTAGCTGTAGTTCTAGCGAACTGTTTGTTTACTTAATGCTGTGATTGATTTGTAGCGATTTCGCTGTGAGATAGAATTAGTTTCTCTGTTTTGAATTGATTTTTGCTAAACGTTTGACATTTTGTGATATTGTTAGAATATTTTTGAAGAAATATTTCAGCATTTTGATTTATCTCTTGTGGAAAGAATAAATTTTTGTTAACTTTTTAACGTTAACCGTGTTTATTCCAGCCCTTTGTATTCAGTATGTCTATATCAAAACCAAGTGGTAGTAAAATTAAACGAAAAATCGCTGACGAACATAGAATATTCCAAGTAAAATGGGAATTAGAATATTTTTGCTGTGAAATAAAAGATAAAATAATCTGCTTGATATGTAATAATACTATTAATGTACCAAAGTTATATAATATTAAACGTCATTACGAACAACACAAATCGAAATATAACAATTACGAAGGATTAATGAGAGAAGAAAAGTTGAAAGAGCTCAAGTTAGGAGTGAAAAAGCAACAGTCCATGTTTAGTAAAGTATTGCAAGAAAGTGAAGCGGCGGTACATGCAAGCTACGTCTTGTCCGAGTTGATAGCTAAACATTCGAAGCCTTTTACTGACGGTGATTTCATCAAGGAATGCCTAATGAAAGCTGGAGAAATTGTTTGTCCTGGAAATGTGAAGGCTTTTCAATCAATTTCATTGTCTCGAAATACAGTTGCGGAAAGAGTTACTGATTTAGCCGCGAATTTAAGTGATCAGATCAAAGCAAAATCATCTAGTTTCGAAAGTTTCTCCATTGCCTGTGACGAGAGCACGGACATTAGTGGCAAAGCTCAATTAGCAGTGTTTCTTCGTTCTTGTGACAAGAATTTTAACATTTTTGAGGAATTACTGGAACTAATACCGATGCCTGGTACTACCACAGGAGAAGATATATTTACTTGTGTTTTTGGACTTCTGCAGAAATACAATCTACCTTTGGCAAAATTAAATTCTGTAGCTACAGATGGCGCTCCATCAATGACCGGGAAAAACAAGGGCTTCGTAGCATTACTAAGAAAAAAAACTTAGTGAAATTCACGGTTCAAACATTCATCATATGCATTGTATTATACATCAAGAAGTTCTATGCACGAAAGTAATAAATATGGAGAATGTTTTGTCATATATAAAAAAAAAGTTATAAATTTTATAAGATCTCGAGGTTTAAATCAGCGTCAATTCACTGCTTTCTTAAGTGAGTTAGATAGTGAATATTCGGGTTTGTCCTACTATACCGAGGTACGTTGGTTATCTTGCTCCAAGATTCTCAAACAATTCTGGGATTTGAAAGAAGAAATATGTCAGTTTTTAAAAACGAAAAATCAAGACGTAAGTTTGTTTTACGATCCAATATGGATACAAGATTTATCTTTCTTGGTTGATATAACCAAACACTTAACCGATTTAAATTTATCGTTACAAGGAAAAGATCATATCATTACGAACATGTTTGACATAATTAAAGCATTCAAATGTCAACTAGTTCTTTGGGAAAAACAACTTAAAAATGAAGATTTGACGCACTTCCCGACGTGCAGCATGAACAAATCAAGTTTAGATGATACTTGTTCGTATCAAAAATACGCAGAAAAAATTGCAAATTTAACAACTGAATTTGAAACGAGGTTTAATGATTTTAGTTCCCTCGAAGACAATTTTTTTTTGTTTTCTTCGATTTTCTCAATAAGTATTGACTCAGTACCCAGCCATATGCAAATGGAGGTGATCGAGATTCAATGCAACTCAAATTTGAAAGCAAAATTCATTGAAGTGGGCGTGCCTGAATTTTACAAATATTTACCAGCCAGGTTTGAAAATACTCGAAAATTCGCATATGAAATTATTT